AATCATAGTAGTTTTGGAGGCACCACTCCAAGATGATATACAATATTGTATTATTGATTGGCAAAGAGCAAAATAAACCGCACGTATTGTACTTTTACCAGCACAGTTCCGAAGCAGCTTTATGGCATAAATAAGTTTCTTGACTCGATTTGAGAGGTGTGAGATATGATGTGTGTGGTATACAATTATACCCAAGTACCTAACAGTCTTCACTCTCGCAATACCCTCGCAGTCACATTGTTGTAGAATGTTACAAGTATGGACTGGAATATCGTTCTGCATCAATTGATTAGTTGCACAAGTTTTGTGAAAACACGACATGTTTTCACGTTTTGTGAAGTTTATACGTAATACAGCCTTGATGCAGTTATGTTAGTAGTATAGTTGTAACACGAACGGGTCGGCTCAACCGGAGAAGGACCATGCTCTCACAGAATACCAGCGTGAAATAGTAGCTTAATGCTGCTGTATTTCGTATGGTAAGTGTAGAGAACCGGAGACCCTTTTTTACTGGAAACGAGGTATTCCATCATAGTCCTCACGGGTCTACATCTGCATTTTGTTAACAGAAAGTCTATGCCAGCAAACACCAGGATATGCTCGTTTGTCACCCGATCCTATAAAATAATGTCTTTAGAATTTTTTCGCATTTAGTGTCAACAAATTACGATTGACGCTACTTGACCCATACCGTTCTCGGCCAGATTTTTTACTTCTATCCAGGATCGACCATGAAATAAGACAACGGTGTCATCTGAGTAACAAATTGTTTCACACTGGTATTTTGAATTTCAGACGTTTATTTATATACAGAATAAAAAGGGTTGGCCCGAGAATTCTGCCCTAGGGCACCTTGAAGGTCACCTGTAGCTGGTGTGATCAGGCCCTATTCTCCCAATTTGGTATTGATTAGTAATACAATTTTTAAACAAATTCAATGCAGTGCCGAAACCTTCTAGCTTCTTCAACAATATTTGCGTGTCAAAGGCCTTAGAAAGATCTAGAAAAATACAAAGTTTACATTTCCAACTATTCACAATTTGATGAAATTTTTATGAGTCTATCAGTAGTTTATCAGCAGATTAACAGCATCCTCAGTGGATTTCTCTACCGTGAACCCAAACTGACTATTAGAAACTAGCTTCAAATTCTCGATAAACTTCAGCAGACTAATATTAACTATCTTTTTATGAAGCTTTGAGAAGATTGTGAGAAGCGATATAGGCCTATATTTATCCGGATTATTGTTTGATCTAGATTTGTAAATAGGACTTACTACCGCACACTTCCAGATGTCAGGAAATACGCCCATACCAAGACTTAGGTTGAAAATATGAGTAATAAAGTACATCCGTCAACCTCCGGTGCACTATCACTACGTAAACTCTCAATCAACTTCTTGATAGCCAATGAGTCAGTTGGTGTAAGGAAGACAGAGTTGAGCAGATGATTGGAAGTTCTAAGGGAAACATTTAATTTACCTTCTGAGTTTGAAAGCTTAGACAGGATTTGGTCGGCCAATTTTAGAACGAAGGAGTCAAATTATCTATTACAGAAATTTAATGATGACTTAATGTCATCGTCACTTTTTAAGATTTCCTCAGAATCTTTACACTTTTTAGGGAACTCGCAAATGTTTTATTAGCTGCAAAATCTTTTAGGATCCGCTTGTGGTGTTTTAGCTCTCCACTCTCATGCTTAGCTTTAAGTCTGTCCAACAAGTCATTACAGAAGTTGCAATAGCGTTTGTAGAACAGATTAAGCATGAAGTCATTCGGATTCGCACGGACCTGACTGTTTTCATATGATATTGACATGAACTCTCTGTGTAATATTTACTATATGTAACATTTTGGAAATTTTTATTACCTTCGTGCATATAATATTGGGTAATTTATCGTGTAACTTTGACTGCCTTATTGATTTAACGGTCGTAGACGCGATGCTGATCATGAGGTCTCGGTTTCGAATCCAGCACGGGCAAGTGAAAATTAGTTATTAAGTTTTTCTGTCAAAAAATCTCAGTAATAACAACCTGATGTAAGAAAGTTGGCGGTGTTTAACCTCCATGCCACGGAAATCTTGTAAAGCAACTCCTGCAGCTGATCTCTCTCTTCAGTTGCATCGACTTGCTGTCATATCGGACTATATATAACTCAACTGTATGATCATGTCCTGCGTTGATGCAGATTAATCTAAGCTTACAGTCAAAAAATTAATGGTTGCTTCATTCTACGGATATAATAATTTAAAATGGAAAATATTTCAAATTTTTTTTTATTTTTTTTTAAACGTTACCCCTACACTAAGATTTTCTCTTGTATCGTGGGGGCAGTTTACAAACATAAATTGCACATGGACAAACATCCAGACCCGGAACAACTATATGTAGGCCATACAAATACTTGTTCCGTGCGGGATTCGAACCCGCGACCCCCAGCGCAGCCACTCATTGCTAAGCCACTGCGCCACGGAGTCGTCAAAGATTGTATATCATATATAAGTTATTATTGCATAAATTAGGAAACGAGCGTGCTTAAATACAGATAAAAGTACATTTAACTAATTTTGGTATGAAATATGAGAAAGAAATGAACGTTTGGTCAGCAGGTCTCGCGCTGACAAATTTTTGTTTCAAACGTGAAGATTTCGAAATAGTTGATCTTTTTATTACGACTGGCTTTGAAACTTGGACTTCCGATTCTGCCTATTCTATTTTGTTTTCGGAAATCGGACCCGACGTTCCTTGAGCTTTGTTGTAACCCAGGTTTATTTAAGGACTGTCTGTATTATGAAGAACAAAGAGAGAGTTTTATATACTTTAGAAAATATAAATAGATTGAGAACCTAGGTAGATATCAGTTTTCGACGCATGCCTAAATTATATGTTCGGAAAGAATACAGTCAAAACCCTTTGAAGCTATATGACGAAAATTTATTTAGAAAAGTATACCGTTTCGTAAAACTCATTATTTTAAATGTAATATTTCATTTAATAATTACCGAATTAGAATATTTGTACTATAGAGGCTTGCTGATTTATACAAAGCTGCATTTAATGATTGCATTAACTTTTGTGTTAGAAGATATTTTAGGAAATTATTGATTCATAAAATGGAATAGATGGATTTTTATTCATATAAACTTTTACAAGTACTCAATATATATTTTTATTGTTAATATCCTAAATTTTTTCGTAAGTCGTCAATTTCGTTGACTTAGGCTTTGCGAAGCGTGTACTCAGTAGGAATTTGAAGTTAGCTCTCTAAATACCGAAATTGTGTTAACACGAAAGTAAAGTCCGAGCAATGTTACGTGGTAGAGCCATGCTGCAGCTATATTGTGGTTGTAGCACAAATAGGTCGACTCGACCGGGGTAGGACCACGCTTTCACATAATAACAGCGTAAAATAGCAGCTTAATGCTGCTGTGTTTTGTATGGTGGTTGTGAGAACCGGAGACTCTTTTAATGGAAACGAGGCATTTCGTCTCAGTTCTCAGGGCTGGCAACGCATTTGCATTTTGATTCTTAATTGAAGATAAATGTAGATGTCTATGGGTCACAGCATCCACTTAACATCAGGTGGACTGTGTGCTCGTTTATCACCCTTATTCTACAAAAAAATCAAAGTACGGTCTATAGATCACAGCCTAAGTCCTTGGACTCCTTCTCTGTGGGAGTCCGTCTGGGTAGATACTACCCTATTACATACTTCTACCTCCAAGTAGCAGTGCGTGCACTGATGTGTTCCTCTCTAAAGCGTATAGAGAGCCAGTAATTACAGACTATGAGGTACGTTTCACAAGGAGTTTTCTTCCGCGTACGACCTCTCTGTGGAATAGTTTACCACCGGTAATTTTTCCGGACCGATATGACCTGGGGACCTTCAAGAAAAGAGCTTACTCCTTTCTAAAGGGCCGGCAACGCACCTCCAATTTCCCTAGTGTTGCGGTTGATCATGGGCGGCGGTAGTCACTTAACATCAGGTGAGCCGCACGCTCGTTTGCCCCCTCTTCTATAAAAAAAATCCATCTTAGGACCCAGAGGTGACTACGTATATGAATCTTTTTTTGGTTAACCTCTCAAGCGCCATAAAAGTCCCATGCAGTCGCATGCGCCCGGCAAATCCCGAGCGGTCACATGCGACCGCACCCACCGCACTTACAACCATTAAAACTTATATTTAGAGACTACTTTTCTATGAAGAAATTTAGCATTATAAAATCTGTACAATATTCTCTATCCTGTAGTCTAAACAAATGTCAGGTTTACTTTATTACAAAAAGATTTTCTTGTATTTTGATAACAAAAAAATATATACCAAGTGATAGTCGGCAGCGTGAAAATTACAATTATTTCAATATATATTAATCGAAATTATTTACATAAAAAGATAAATTATATTCACACAAAAACTTTCATTACATTTTTATAATAAAACACTACACTATACTAAAACACTACACTATACTAAAACACTACACTATACTAAAACACTAATAAAACATTAGAAAATCCAAAAATCAACACAATAACATTCACGCGAAAATGACGTACGAAATAAACGTAAATTATAAATAAATATTCATAGGATAACAGTTTTTTTATTGCGCAAGAGGATATAGTATTTCATATTGATTATATAATGCCAAACTTCTTCATATAAAAGTAGTGTCTATATTTAAGTTTTTATGGGTTATAAATGCCGCGAGTGGGCGTGACCTCATGGGACCGCTAGGGATTTGACGGAATATGGCCGCGGTCTGATGAGACCGCTAGGGGGTTGAGAGGTTAAAGTTGTTTGCCAATGTGGAAAGGCTGCAGTAGCTTTAGCTAGTACTTACCATCAGGCAGACTGTGAATTTGTTTGTCACTCCAGTTTCATAAAATAATATGACGACATCAAATCCTTTCAATGAATTAGCGAGATGTTTATTTTGTGTTGTCACATACATATTTTAACTGAATATACTAATTCGATTACCATGACTATAATAAAATGGTAGCCTTATGTCAACGTATTTTTCCTTTGCCCGCAGAAGATGGAGTTCAAGACATCGTCTTTGACTATCATTCTATGCCAGCATTGTCAGAACTGGACGACTTTGATATTTGTTTGAAAAAACCAGATGCCGTCTATTGTATAGTAGACTTCGAACTTCTGGAAGATGAAACTCCTTTGTACCAATTCATAAAGGTATTTTTTTTCATTTTCATTTGTTCATAAAAGCCTATCAAAGGTCCATAAGTCTTTAATCGACTGCCTTTTATTGAATACATTTGATATAGTTACCATACTTGGCAGAGAAGTACTAATTAGTTTTTTTTTGAGTAGTTGTTATCAGGAAGATGCTAATTTCTATTGCACAAGGAAATCGCCTCTTACGATACACACAGGATAATATGAATTAGTTGATTCTCTTACGCTGCTTCTAGGCAGCAACAAAAAACTCATTTTCATATTTAAGCTTACGTGGTATTATGCAATAAAGCCACATTTATTTTTATGCTTTTTTTTGTGTTTGTTAAATAAATGTTTTCTATTCTAAGAAAAAATAGTATGCTATTTCATTATTTTGGTTATTGTAATAAAATACAAATATATATAATTAACACAAGTTAGGTATTTAAGATACTTTAACTACGGCACTTTTTTTCAAAATGTCAAATTTACCTGCGCGTCGCCGCACGCGGCAACCATTGATTTCGCGGCGGCGTATATGACAATATGCGGCGCGTGCCAAGGCGGCGCGACATAAAGATAACTGTATCAAAGCGAAAAAAATATACTGTCCGTAGCCATCAACAGCTGGTCAACATCCAATTGTAGAGAATATTTGTTGTGCTATAGTCCTAGCAGTTTGTTATAAAGAGCAGTACTTCACACAGTGTTCTACGCTCTCCTTACCAAGTTTTGCCAGCATGGAGACTACACACAGTTGTAATTAGGTACCTCCTCGAAAAGTATACATCCTAGCAGTGGATTGTGAACGCTGACAAAGATGAATGAAATAGTTAAGACTGCATTTAGCACACTGTACTTTGTGTTACTTAGGCCGTGCTGTCGTCGTGCTACAAGCTTAATTTACGCTATTAAAGTTTACTAACTACTTCAGTATATATAGAACAGCACATTGTTGTGTTGTTGTGTACGTTATTATAGTACTCTTATTAGTTTGTGTTGCGAATACTACATTATACCACAGATGATGTTAACACTAATATCACAATTATAAGGTTATGTAGCGCTTTAACGACAACGTAATGTTAACAAACGCATTGTCAGTTGCGTTTCCCATAACGGTGTTTGTTTTGTGCACTTATTGAATTTTTTTTCTTTCTTTTACTTAACCCTTGATATTATTAATCCTCTTTTTTTATTTTCTATTTAGTAGTAAAGTGTCGTAAGATATTGTACTTAAACTGTATTTATAAAAACACTCAACTGGCAGGTGGACACTAAAATACTTTTTTTATTTTATTTTTATTCGTTTTTTTTGTTCTTAGTTTTAGGAAATTTATTACCTTATTTTTTAATTGTATTTTACTTATTGTACGTTATATTTTTCACATATAAACATTAATAGTTATTTTGTAATGTCATTCTTAGACATTAGTAGTAATAATGAAACTGCAGTTAGTGATGATGGCAATATCCCTAGCTTACAGCCTCTCTCTGAAATACTAGCTTCACAATTTTCTGATGTTCCCAATAATTTCAACGTCGTTCACATTAATGCCCAAAGCATTCCGGCTCACTTTTCAGATATGCTGGCTACCTTTTATTCTAAGAATATTCATGCTATTCTCGTTTCTGAGTCATGGCTTAAGCCTTGTCTTCCTTCCACAAATTATTCTTTACCTGGCTTTCACCTCATAAGAAATGATCGTACTGTTGGCGGTGGTGGAGGTGTGGCAATATATCTCCGTGCGTATATTCCCTTTTCTGTTGTTGATATGTCATCTCAACCAACTCCGCTTAATGCAGGTGAACATCTTTTTATTGAGGTGAAGCTTAGTCACACGAAAATTTTGCTGGGGGTATATTACTGTCCTTCATCTCGAATTGACTTCTTCACTTCCTTCGAAAATATTTTAGAAAATGTATCCTCTTATTCGCACACGATCATTATGGGCGACTTTAATACTTGTCTGCTTAAACAAGACTCACGTTCATCCTCTCTTCGATCTATAGTAAATTCCACTAATCTCTCTATTTTACCTTTAAATTCTACTCATCACTTTCCTAATGCTACTCCGTCATTGCTCGATCTTATCTTTGTGTCCTCTTCTGAACTCGCTGTTAAGCATGGTCAGTGTTCAGCGGATGCCTTCTCTTACCACGATCTTATATTTCTCTCTTATAATGTCCGGCCACCTAAAATTAAGTCTAAGTTTCTTCTGCAACGCAGTTTTGGTGGTATGAATATACAAAATCTTTGCGAAGATGCTTCCAACATTGAGTGGTCAGCCGTTTTAAATGCAGAATCAGTTGACGATAAAGTTGCAATATTTACGACTTACCTCACCTGTCTCTATGATAAACATGCACCAGTTCGCGTAATTAAAATGAGACATCGCCCTTCACCATGGCTGACTGATGAAATAAAATCCATTTTAAATAAAAAAGCTGCAGCCAAGACAAAATATAAATGTAGGCCTACATCTATAAACTGGGAAAAATATGTCACTATTCGAAATCACTGCAATAGGGTATGTAGGGATGCTCAACGCCACTATATCCATAAATCAGTACAAATTGGTGATGCGGCTAAAGTCTGGAGTTTTCTTAGATCAATGGGGGTTGGAAAGTCTCGTAATAATGTACTCTCTAAAGATTTAAATATTGATTTACTAAATCAGTTCTTCTCATCCTCGTCCAACTTAAATGGGACTACAAAATTTAACACATTAAATTTTCTTTCATCGCTTCCAACTCCTGATCATCCATCTTTTGTCCTAAATCAATTTACTGCTTGTGATGTTAAGAAGAGTACTCTATCCATTACTTCGAATGCAATCGGCAGTGATTGTATCAGCCGTAATATGATCCTTCCGATTCTTGACATAATCATCCCAATACTTTGCCATATCCTAAACTCCTCGATTTCTAGTGGTGTTTTTCCAACAACTTGGAAAGACGCTCACATCATACCGTTGCCTAAAAAACCTAACCCTACATCTTTTTCGGAATATCGTCCTATATCTATTTTGCCATTCCTGTCCAAAGTTTTCGAACGCTTGATATATAATCAGCTCAATGCTTTCCTCCACAATCATTCCCTTCTAAATCCTCTACAATCCGGTTTTCGCCCTGGGCATAGTACTGCTACAGCCTTAGTCAATATTACGGAAGATATTAGATCTGCAATGGAAAATGGCAAGTTAACTATCCTTTCTCTGTTAGATTTTAGCAATGCCTTTAATTCAATTGATTTTGAAATTTTACTGGGTATACTTAGCTCTCTTAACATATCTCCAACAGTGATTGATTGGTTTCGAAGTTACCTGTCTGGGCGCCGGCAACGTATTCGCACTGATGACACATTTTCTTCTTGGTGTGATACCATTGCTGGCGTCCCGCAGGGTGGCGTATTATCTCCCTTACTTTTCTCAATTTTTACTAATTCTATAGCCACTAAGATTACTTCGTCCTACCACCTTTACGCAGATGATCTTCAAATATATACTCATGTTTCTCCTAGTGAAGTAGATGTAGCTATTAGCAACATAAACAGTGATCTTGAGCAAATATCAGATTGGGCAAAAACATATGGCTTGAAGATTAACCCCCTAAAGACTCAGGTAATTATCATCGGAAGTTCGTATATGATTGGAAAATCTAACATATCTCAAGCACCTCAAGTTGTTTTTAATGGAAATTTTATTCCTGTGAGTGAAAAAGTCAAGGACTTGGGAATTTATATTGACAGTAACCTATCATGGGGTCCTCAAATACAGGAGGTTAGTCGTAAACTCTTTGCAGCTGCCCGATCGTTGAACAGATTAAGGAATTTTCTACCTACTGCCACTAAAATTGCGCTTGCTCAATCTCTTCTTCTCCCAATTGTGGACTATGCAGATGTCAGCTATCTCGATCTCAATGAGAAGCAACTTGATAAACTTGAGCGTCTTCAAAACTTTTGTATAAGATTCATATTTGGTTTGCGCAAATATGATCACGTATCTTGTTTTCGTAATAAGCTCAAGTGGCTTCCTATCCGTCTTCGCCGGAATGCTCATATTCTGTCACTTCTTTACAATGTTCTCTTTAATCCTTCCTATCCTTCTTATCTTAAGGATCGTTTTGAATTCCTTCACTATTCCCATTCGAAAGTTTTGAGATCATCAGAGAATTTTACATTAAAAATGCCTGCCCATAATAGCAAATTTATGGACAAGTCATTTAGTATCCAAGCAGTCCGTCTATGGAATGCCCTACCTCTGTCAGTGAGACGCGCCCAGTCTTTACCTGTTTTTCAGAAACTTGTACAAAGTCACTATCTTAATCTTTGAGTTCGTGCCATTTATATATGTAGTATACATTTGTATTTTTTTTGTATTTATTTGTTGTTTATTTCTAATTATATTATATAAAATAAGGATATTTTTATAAATATTGTTTCTGCATCACCAAACCACACAATTTACTATTTTTTGCGATCCTGTCCATCCAAAGGTTGTCTGGAAGAAATCGCTTTTAGCGATAAGACCGCCCATTGTGACACTATTTTTTTTCTTCTTCTTTCGTTTATGTATTGATTTGGTGTACAATAAAGAATTATCTATCTATCTATCTATCTATCTATCACCGTACAATTACTTGAGGCTAAATATCTTACTATTGGGTGATCTCAATATTCCATATAAAAATACAGAATTAGGGGAAAGCTCGGGGGTACTTGCCGTGATTTTCACACAACGGACACAGCATCAATTTATGAATATGTAGACTGTGTTTTAACTCATACTTGGCTATAAAGTAAGCCGAGGTAGCTCGGGGGCATCGGGGGCTTAGCGATCTCTGGAAATTTCACAGAAGGCGAGTAACCCCCGCGGTTCGGTCCCTGTCGACAACAATGAAATTGTAAAGGAGGAGGAGGCCTATGCCCTACACAGTAGGCTGTAACTTTTAATTTACAGGGTATTAAATCGATAACGGATGGGCAGATAGATTTTCGAGTGGCAGCTTCATACAACTAAGTGAAGTGTAGAGTGACCTAGAAAGTCGATGGATGCATTTGGCTCTTGATCGTGTTTTTTTTGAATTCCTTGGAGAAGGTTATGTTCAGAAATGGACTTGTGAATGGCTGTAACGATGATGAAAAAATTTAGGATTTTTTTTAAACTTTAATCCATATCGTCGTGAGTGTTGCAGCGGGCAGCAGAGCGAAACAAACCATGAGATAGGCAGCAGCCACTTCTAATAACAACTAAAATGTAATATACTGCAGTTGACAGCTTAACTAGCGAGTAGACTAACTAGAAAAGATCTACATGGCAATCTATGGTGAGTTCTATGTTCAGCATAAGACTTTCGATAGGTTGTATGAAAGAATCAATGTGGAAAGTGTGGCAACATTCATTGGAGCAGTGTGCGGTGGATTAGATACTCCAAAATCCTCTATAAAATGAGAGGAGGCATGTGCCCAGCAGTAAGACGTACATAAGATGTAACTTTAACTTTCTTAACTTTATTTTTTTTACCACTCATCCTACTTATCGTACAGTCCTATTCCTCGTGGTATCGTACCAAGAACGCTGGCTACGTTTATTTGCTCAAGGGCTAAGTATAGCCATTATATAGAAAATAACAAACCCTCTTATCACCAATTACCGAAGCTTAGAAATGATTGTTTTATTAATTTCTAGAACTTCTCATCGTTACCATATAAAAACTACAAGCATAGTAAGTTACATCGGGGTGTATGCGGATCCCAAAAATGCGGTCTAAATCTGACACACGTGAACGCTTCAGACATCACTGTAGCTGCTCTGAGAGAGTGCTTTAATGCTACGATACATCAAGGATACGGATTGCAGGTAATCCTTTTTCATTTTTTGCCTTTTGTCTCCTTTAAATAAAAACAAAACAAAAATACCTTTACTTGGCACACATAAAATAAAAACAATTTTATAATTATGGTTACTATTTTTTACCATGTGGTATAAGCATGCAACAGATATATTGTTGTTGTAGCAAGAATGGGTTGGTTAGACCGGGGCAGAACAACAGAACGCCAGCCTGAAATAGCAGCTCAATGTTGTTGTGTTTCGTACGGTGAGCGCCGAGAAACGGAGACCCTTTTACTGGAAATAGGACAAACCATCTTGGTCCTTGGGGGTGGCAACGCATCTGCATTTTGATTGTCACCTTGGATAAATGTAGATGTCTATCACTTGCCGTCAGGTGGACTGTGTTTGTTTGTCATCCTTATTCTATAAAAAAAAACTATTTAGACTCGTTAAGAACGTTATCCATACACTTTCTCTTCTATTGTGGAGGTAGGTTACATACATAAATTGCATAAGGACAAACATCAAGACCCGTAATAATTAATTGTGAGTCATACAAACATTTACTCCGTGCAGGATTCAAACTCGCGGCCCTCGGCGCTGCAACACAATATAACTGAAGTAAAATTTGACTTTATTATAATTAAAGTTCTAAAAAAATTTAAAAATTACTCCAAAACTAAAAAAAAATTTCAACGTCATCTTCTGGAGTCAGGCCGTATTTGTGACTTTCCTTGGAGGAGGCCTATATTCAGCTGTAGACTTATAAAATGTTTTATTGATAATGATTATGAAAATAGTGACATGTTCAGCATTGGAAGATGCTCATAACTTGGCATATCTTTAATATATCGCCAATTTAGATATTGATATATTTCCGTCAGTATTCTAGGGACTTCGCTGACAACTCTGCTGCTAATAAGATTATAATAATGACTACTTATGTTTACGCAAGCATTACACATTTAAATAAAACTAGATTTTACAGGTTATATCACATATATTAACTTATTTTACATTCCCGACGCATCAAGCACTTTACAGCACAGTTGTAAGACGTCCCAATGTCATAGTTAACTGCTACCTCCAGATTAAAATATTAATTTTCGTATAGATCTACGCAGTATGAACTTACAATATCTTAAAGCTTGCAGTAGTATGCTTAGTTTGGAATATGATTTTATTAATTATAGGAGCCCAAGCAGATGGTAGCACCCAGCCATCTTCTCTACCTAGCTAGTTTTATTTAAACTGGCTAGTTTTATTAAAAAAGATTATAATATTTTCGACTCTTTACCTAACTATCCCAAAAAGAAGGTAATTGTATGTATGTATGACTATATCTTAGGCACGCTCTATAATCTAAACGGCTTGATACATTTTTACATATAATGAGAGAGATTCGCCTTAGTTTTGAAAATGACAGTGACATTTATAATATTTAAATTTTTCTCTTTTCCGTAACATTATTTTACGAAATTGCTTATTTTTATTACTTTTTATACTGAAGGATAGGGATTATTCTTTAAGGCTGAAGGGACTATTCTTTAAGGCTACACACAAAGAACAATCACGCAAATTCGGATTTAATTTTAGCTAAAAACAAGTAATCTAAAGATAAGTAATTCATTATAATTTTTAGAGCACATTTTTATTTCGTCAATCGAATGCGGAGTTTAGAGAGTAAAAACTAAGCAACTTTGAAAAAAAAAACTACTTTTGCGAATTTTATCACGTTTAATTTACTTAATTTTAATCATCGACGTTTCGGGTGCTTTTCAGCACCCATGGTTGTTAGACGCGATAAAATCCATAAAAGTAGTTTTATTCAATGGTATTCAATAAAACTACTTTATCGACAAGTTTACGACAAGAACAAGAGTTTTATTAAAAGTATTCGCGAAAATATAAGAAACCATTAACTAAGGAATTAATTATTAATATTTAAAGAAATCACACTCTTTCGCTCTTATAAAATATGTATATTAGAGCTTTAGACTGTCAGTTAACTACGATCTAAGCAGCCATAAAAACATGAAAATATGTATACGTAAAGCTAAAGCATAGATAAATAAACATAAATAAAGTAATGAATTTATATTACTACAAATAACTTAAATAATATACTCTATACCTGATAAAATTTTTAAATAATACATAATTCTAAGCAGATTTACATACTAACATAACGTAAAGTATATAAAAGGATTCATTGTTTTATTTTAGGTTGATTCCTTATCAGTGCGTTACTGCAAGACTCAAGACGATCGCTTACCAATTGATGCTTTAGATTACGTTATAGGAGCCATCTTATTGATTGTGCTGTTTGTCAATTTGGGATGCTCGGCCTATCACTTCTTTTGGCCAGCGGAAAAAGGACAAGGTATTTATGATTTATAAACCTATTTTTATAGAATCAGGCTGACAAATGAGCATCCTGTCTGCCTGATGGTAAATCGATGTTGTGATCTATCCTCTAAATGCAGACGCGTTGTCACCCCTGAGGACTAAAGAGGACGGACGGACTGACGGAGGAAGGACTGGAATATCTACTTACTATAAAAACGTGTCTCTGGTTCCCATATTCCGTGCAAGCGTGGTCCTGCCCCGTTCAAACCGACCCATCTGTGCTACAGGCATAATGTCGCTGCAACGTGGTTCTGCCAAGTTTTGTTTCAATTTAATCGTTAAAATCAAACAGAATGTAGAATAATTCGTACGCAGGCCATTGCTCTAACATTAGTGCAAGAAATTTTTCATCAAAAATGGCAGCGAGACTCAATGTAGACTAGCCATTTACAAAACACCATTATAATGCCTATGGTGATTGATGTATGCGCGAACAAAGGTGCACTCTGAACACTCTCAATCTCATAGACTGATGTGACGGTAGTCGCGTTTGTGAATACTAGATGTGTGTGTGTGTGTGTGTGTGTGTGTGCATGTGTGTGTGTGTTGTGTGTGTGTGTGTGTGTGAGTGAGTGCGTGCGTGTGTGAGTGTGCATGCGTGTGTCTTTGTGTGTGTGTGTGTGTGTGTGTGTGTGTGTGTGTGTGTGTGTGTGTGTGTGTAGAGAGAGAGAGAGAGAGAGAGCGTGTGTATGTGAGTGTGTGTGTGTGTGTCAGAGAGAGAGAGAGAGCGTGCGTATGTGAGTATGTGTGTGAGTGTTTGGGGGTGTGTCTGTATGTGTGTGGCGTTGTCATCGCGCCCGCCCGCGTAAAACCAACCAAAGCCAAAATTACACTATTGAAGTTTGCTAAACGTCAAGTAATAAACAGATATTTTTAATTTTAAATAAAACTTTAAGACTTTTCTTTTATTCGTAATATTGTTTAATGTGGATTGTATTGTAGGTAACAAATTCATGTTAGCATTTTGCGTTCAAAAGAACTGGAAAGCTCTCAAATATGGAGGCAGTGCCGACGGTGGGATCTTCAAGTGCTTCCAGGCATTGAGGTATGAAACTAAGTTTTACGGATTTTTTAATGTCTTACACAACCCGTACCGGCTGGCGAGATGTAGGGTGACCCCCACTAGATGGAGTGACGACCTTATAAGACATGCAGGAAGTCGATGGATGCAGGTGGCTTAGGACCGTGCTTTGTAGCATACCTTGGGGGAGGCCTATGTTCAGCAGTGGACTTGTGAAGGGCTGTAATGATGATGATGATACTCGTAATACAACTCGTTTGCAATAGCACTAATGGAGGACTGAAGTTTTTGACGTCCTCTTGACATTGCTAATCTAGACTACCTTTAGATCACGAAATCGAATTTGATAGCTCACATATTCCTTTAAAATGACACAAATTCCCATCAATGACGATATGTGATGATGTTGAAATTAATAGAAAATGACTAGGTTCATTACATTTACATTACCTTACATTACAGTACATTCGACTGAATATGCTGTAATAAATAAAATTAAATCTAGAACTAATCGTATTTCTCCACAGATTCTTAATTTATTCTGCATAAATCGGAATAACATAAATTCGAATTTATTAGACTTTTTTTAAATTAGGATTACAAACGAGCTCACCTGGTGGTAAATTGATTATGTGGCCTATAGACATCCACATCAATCATCGATTAAGAATACAAATGGGGGTGCGTTGTTATCCTTGACTACGGACTAAGATAGCATGTCTCGTTATAAGTAAAAAGGCTTAACAGTTCTCTACAGTCACCTTATGAAACACAACTAGCTGGTGTCTTAGCGTATCCTCTTGTCACTCAGGCTATTTTGTTATTGTGCAGCTACGTATAACTAGCATAGCTAGCATACCATTTAAAAATATACATACAGGTTTCCTTATGATGTTTTCCTCCACCACCGGGCACGTGTCATATCAGCACTTAAAATTTCAACAACTTCATCAGCGCCTACAAGGATCGAACCCATATTTTTTTATAGGATAGGGTGACAAACGAGCACACAGTCCACCTGATGGTAAGTGGTTTCTATAGCCCATAGACATCTATCTACATCTATCCTCGATTGCAAATCAAAATGCAGATGCGTTGTCACCCGTAAGGACAAAGATGGAGTGCGCCGTATCAAGTAAAAAGGATCTCCGGTTCTTTACACTCACCATATGAAACACAGCAGCATTAAGCTACTATTTCACGCTGGTATTCTGTGAGAGCTTGGTCCTTCCCCAGTCAAGTCGAACCGAGTCGTGCTACAACTAAACTACTAATATAACTGCAGCATGGCTCTACCACGTATAAAATTTTTGTTTTCCATTTTACTCCACTTTTGTGCAGCTATGTATAACTAGCATAGCTAGCATACCATAAAAAATATACATACAGGTTTTCTTACGATGTTTTTCTTAACCGCCGAGCCCGTGTTATATCAGCACTTACTTACGATCAACAACTTCACCAGCGCCTGCAGGGATCGAGCCCAGGTTGTCCCCGTACCGTTAAATTAACAACGAGCGCTTAGTCCTTGACCTACCACGTCTGCGATCGTTATGGATATCTTTATAAGGTGTCTGTCTGTTAAGCTGACAATAAAGTATTTTAGTACGGCACGTAAAGTTATGCCCGTTTCATAACATAATAACCAGCATTGTAAAGCGCTATCAAACCATAATATAAAATGGGTCTCTAAAATGAATTACTTAGTAAGTGCAGGAATATGAGAGTAATAAAGCATTTCATAAAATTATTATTTTATCGGATTAGTATAATATGTCTTTCTTTTTTGATACCCTTTTTAAATTATACAAGTCTTTCGTCTGTTCGACCTGAAACGTAAAATGACAGAGTGTAGTGGCGGTGTAAGAATATCTACTACCCCATATCGTCCCGTGGGTGTCGTAGGAGGCGACAGAAGGAAACTGAAACGGAAGATGGGCAGCATCTTCCTGATAACAATTCAAAATTATTAAAAAAAAACTGCGTTTGCCAACCCGCCTCCCAAGCATGCAACAATGGCAAATCCACCTATAAAGCAATCTGTAGGGAGGCCTATATTCAGCAGTGGATTTGTATAGGCTGTAGTGGATGGATCACAGAATACTACAATACACAATAGAATGGCTGTCAACCTTATTTTGTAAGACGATAGGCGTCGCCGGGAGTACACATACAAGCAATTACGTCGTATTATCAGTTAATCACTACTACAAATCTGATTCGCTGTGTTGACAGATGGATTTTAATACATATTTATTTGTGAATAACGTGCAATTTGAAACGTTTCTAAATAATTTGCATGCAAAATTTGGAAACGATTGTAACGTCAAAACACATCTCGTTTTGACATTTATAGGTGCGAATTGACGTGTTAGTGGTATTTTGGTGGCTACACGGCCTCCGCTCCCCCGTTCTATTATGTATGTATTATAATATTCTATGTGATGGATGAATGAATGTTTCAGTATTTCAAGAAAAGACTGGTGACAAGGCATATTATCTTAGAACATATACGTAGGTCTATTGGCGTACATTTAGGGATTGACTTATAATTCTCGTTGATCTAGTGATACTAAGCGTGACTGATGGTCATGTGGTCCTGGGTTTGAATCTCTGTTCGGGCGAAAAATCAGTTATTGGGTTTGTCTGTCAATAAATTTTCAGTATAGATTCTGTACGTGGTAGAGCCATACTGCAGTTATATTAGTAGTATAGTTGTAGCACGAATGGGTCGGCTCGACCGGGGAAGGACCAAGCGCTCACAGAATTTTGTTCATGAGCAGCGGTAGTCAATTAACATCTGGTGAACGATATGCTCGTTTGCTCCCCTCTTCTATATAAAAAATAGCGGCGTAATATAGTAGCTTAATGCTGCTGTGTTCCATATGGTGGGTGTAGAGAACCGGAGACCCTTTTCACTGGAAACGATCTTAGTCCCCACGGGTGACAGCGCATCTGTATTTTGATTCGTTATCGAGGATAGATGTAGATGTCTGTAGGCCACAGCAACCACTTACTGTGTGCTTATTTGTCACCAACCCTATCTTATAAGAAAGTAGCATCCCGAAATAATAAATTGGCAGAAATTCACCCCCGTGCCCCTTAAAGCACATAAAGACGTTGCTACTATTTAAAACTTAATTTACAATAAACTAGAGACTAATAGATAGAACTGGAGAAGTGGCAAAAATGTTCTTAGTATTTATTATAATGATTTCGTTTTGTGCAGATTCTATACAATGGTCATGATCCTTGGGCTACATTCAATGATCTTTATTGGTTACGGATACACCGCCAATCCTGAATTCATTGAAAAGGTAAGTGCGAATTTCTAAAGTTAAAACTTTATTATAACTTTTTATTGTGGTATCACTTTGTACCTAGCAATCAAACTCGGTAGGTACAGCTTACTTACGGATTTCTACCACCAACCAGCAGTGTACTTCTGTGGTTAGTTCTGAAGCGTATAGAGCTAGTATAATAACAGTCTGTGAGGTATTCCGTCTTAGTCCTCAAAGTTGACAACACACCGGTAACCTTTTTTTTAAATTGATCACAATTATCCATGGGCTGCTAAAGCTACTTATCATATGAATATGTACACTTACATGTTTTTGTTTTTCTTTAAGAGAGATAGCTATCACGGCTTTAAACAATCTGAATTTGCCTAAATAATAAAACTACTCATAGAAAAGTTAAGAAAAAGTAAAGATGCTTTATTATAAAAAAAAAAAAAAAAAAAAAAAATATATATATATATATATATATAGCTTTGCCCAAAGATGGCAGTGGGTCAATTAAGGGCAGAGAATTATGTGTCATGCTGCTCTAAAGCGCGTTAAAAGTCCGCTATATTTTTTTAATTTTTCATGATCACAAGTTTACCTACCTCTATTATCTTCACGGTGAATAGGTGGCAAATCTACATTTAAAATTGCAATCAAATATTTTGTTGCTACCGGCGTAAATTAAAGCCGGATTGCTCGCATACTGTGTAAAAGCGAGGCTCACATTTGGATGTTGGATGTTGAGATCTCATATCATCATTATATTTGGAAATTACTTTAGGATTCACAAATGGAAATGAAATTGCCTTTATTCGATAACTCGCACATAATGCTGATTTTATCGTATATAAAGACTCGTCCCTAACATTTAAACCAAACTTACTTACCATTAGGAACCCAACATATGCAGTTACATAATCAGTGCCTTTTGATTTGATGGACCACATCTGTGCCGTCATTTTACTTTTTAGTGCGAAAATATGCGAGTATTATAAATATAAATAATATTTTATTACGTGTTTAAACTACGCCCACGCTCGCAAATAACACCAGTGTGAAATAACATCATCATGCAGTTGCGTTTTGTATGTTGAGTGTGAAGAACCGGAGACCCATTTTACTGGAAACTAATCATTCCACCTTAGACTTCAAGGATGACAACGCATCTGCATTTGGATTATTAGTCGAAGATACATGTGGATGTTTATGGGCCCCAGTATCCACTTACCATAAGGAAGACTGTGTGCTGGTTTGTCACCATTATTCTACTAAAAATACACTCAAAGTGACCAAGTGTTAAGCTGCGGTGATGTGAATCGCGAACTTGCTTCCCGCATGAACGAATGTAGCTGATAAATAATTTTTCCAGACTACCCACCACGATAAAGTGTAACATTGTCTAAAAATAAATAAATATTTATTTAATTTCAGCTATTTAAATAAGTATAAAAGAACATTGCCACTGAATAAAAGAGACAAAACGAGCCTCACTCTTTTGGGATTCCGTTCATATTCTGACCAATTAACTTTTTTTAAAAGTATGTTTATTCTGTTTCTCAATGGTGATAGAACAAAAACCTAAAAAAGAATGTCCGTTTGGTTTGGTCACCGCTTACATTATTTACTTCAGTATTTTTTGTTTAAATATGCTATTTGTTTCGTAATATAGAGAAATTATTTCCTCACTAATTTCGTTTTCGAGATAGATCTCATAACAAAAAAGATCCTTAAATTACAACATTGATACACCTCATTTCTTTATTTTTGGAGATAAAACAATTATTTGTTCTCCACTCAATGGATTTCAGACAATTTTTTGAACCCTAAACACTATAAAAGTATTATTTTTCTATAAGAACTACGGTTTCCATTTCTTTTCTAATATAATGATTAATTTAACAGAATCTGTCCATAGAGACCGAGTATATGTACCCCTCTAATAGATAACGAAAACGTTGGATTTAATTTCGTAATTAACCTAATGGTTTAGTGTGAAGAGTGCAAATTCTGTGTCATCTTCCGAAATGTGTGCATGTATGTATGCTGACTTTCAAAAATAGGCCTTTTACAAAATCTTCCAAATATAAAGTAAGAAAGTAGAGTAAATGCGCTATAAAATGATCGTAAAACTAATTCGAGATTGTAACCGACATTATCTATGAAGGTTGAAGGTAGTACAAAAGTAGTAGCTCAGGGAATTAGCGCACACCGTGAAAAACAAAGCACGCGAACAACCGATGTTTGATCCTCTCCGATGCTATTGAAGTCGGTAATTGAATTCCGAATCTCTGCAGTGTATCGTCAATCAAGAGAGGGAAACCTACTTGACTGAGTAATAAAAAATATTTCGAAGACGTGATTTCCGCCAACATGCACTGATGCAGCGCGTCGGAATAATTGTACCATTACCATCTCAATAACTAGAGGAGGTGTATGTGTGTTAAAGCTTTAACTTGAGTAAAATCTTAATATTTTAAAAGCCTGGTAAACCCATCCATATACAATTCACTAGGGATCGTATACACAATAAACTATATACTTAATACTGTCTCAATGGAACCTATATAGTTATTATTCCAACGACCTAAATTTTAATAACGAATTAAACCAAGTAGGCCCGATGATACAAAGTACTAGGTGAGTGTAGTAACATCACACAACACACATTGGTCGGCAATACGCAAGAGTGCGTCGGCATCCTGTTGGAATTACCGGTTAGAACGCAATCTGAATGAACGGAAATTGATGTAAGTAATAGTAATAGTTTTACAACGAAAATGGGAGTAGTTAAAAAGAAAATGTTATTAGTGAAAACCGAAAAAGGTGAGTACCAGTGGCCGGAGGCCCAAATCCGACCCCCCCCTTCCACCATCAACAAGGTAGCGGAGTTAAATGATGATAGACTACCCCAGGAGGGTACCAGCACCGCAGGAGAATCTCTCGCTGAGCATCCACGATCATGTTTCTCCACTTCTGAGCGTGGGGGCTCAGGCTGCCCCGCATATTTTGGGGGGGGGGGGGGGCAAAATTCCGCTCAAGACTACAACTGCTCGGGGTAAACGGAGCAACAAAACCACGGCGACCCCTGCCACGCTGTCCGTGAATTTCTGCAATATCAGGGGACTTCACTCTAACCTAAACGCCGTCCACTACCATCTCGAAACGTGCCGTAGGCCGTCTCTGCTCTTTCTGACCGAGACGCAGGTGTCCTCTCCGGCTGATGTCTCGTATCTCTCCTGCCCGGGGTACAAACTGGAACACTCCTTTGTGCCTCGGGCTGGAGTTTGCGTTTACGTCAGAGAGGACATCTGTTCTCGACGCCTCGGCAGACTTGAAGGTTCGGACCTGTCCATCCTTTGGCTACGCGTAGACAGCGACGACCATACGCGCGTCTACGGGTGCCTCTATAGGTCCCATAGCGGTAATGCCGAAACAGACCGACTCTTCGACCACGTCCAAATGGCTACAGATTCGTTGCTACAGCAGATCCCCTTCGCAGAGATCGTGATCCTCGGCGACTTTAATGCCCATCACGCCGAATGGCTTAGTTCACGTTTAACCGATCATGCGGGGAGATCTGTTCATGATTTTGCCTTGGCATATGGTCTGACACAACTGGTTACTTCGCCTACGCGGATTCCAGATGTGGAGGATCATGCACCTTCCCTGTTGGACCTTCTGCTGACCTCTCACCCGGACGGATATCAGATTTCCCTTGACGCCCCTTTAGGCTCCTCGGACCATTGTCTTGTTCGGAGTGTGGTGCCACTCACGCTGAAATTGTAATTGCAATCTGCAGGCTGCCGCCGTGTTTGGCACTATAGGTCAGCCGATTGAGATGGGATACGGTCTTTCTTTGCATCCTACCCTTGGGGGTTTGCTTCTCGCCGGAAGATCCCAACGTTGTTGCGGATTCTGTCACTGATGTGGTACTTCAGGGTATGGAACTTTTTATTCCTTCCTCTGTGGTGCCCATTGGAGGCAAATCTCAGCCATGGTTTGGTCGCTCCTGTAAAATAGCATAATGCTATAAGCAGGAGTGCTACCAAGCCTGGGCTGACGCATCAACGTCCTGGGATGTAAACACCAGCGCTCTAAAAAAGAAGTATAATTCCGCCTCTAGGTCCTTCAAAAGAGTCATTGCCAAGGCAAAGTCAGAGCACACAGGCAGAATTGGCGAGAGACTGGTCCGCCTTCCTTCTGGAACCTGTGCATTCTGGTCTCTCGCCAATGCTGTCTAGGGGAATTTCTGTCAGCCATCTTTTCCATCTCTGCACAGGGAGGACGACTCACTGGCCCATACCGCAAAGGAGAAAGCCGATCTTCTAGGCTCTTTCTTTGCGTCCAACTCGACTCTCGATGACGGGGGGAGTACGCCGCCGAACATCCCGCGGTGTGAGTGCTCCATGCCGGAAGTGCAGTTCAAACAGCGCTCGGTTCGCAAAGCACTCCTCTCCCTGGACATCCACAAGTCGAGTGGGCCTGACGGAATCCCCCCAATTGTGCTGAGGACGTGTGCTCCAGAGTTGGCACCGGTTTTAACGCGTCTTTTCAGGTACTCCTACTCCCTAGGCGTAGTCCCAAAATCATGGAAGACGGCTTTCGTCCACCCGATCCCTAAAAAAGGCGACCGCTCAGACCCGTCCAACTACCTGCCTATCGCCATCACCTCCTTGTTCTCCAAAACAATGGAGTCCATTGTAAACTGCCAGCTCATGAGGTACCTTGAGAATCACCGGTCGGTCAGCTGGTGATCTTCTGGTCTACCTAACTCACAGATGGGCGGAGGCAGTAGAGTCCAAGGGGGAGGCATTGGCCGTTAGTTTGGACATTGCGAAGGCCTTCGATCGGGTTTGGCACAAAGCGCTTCTTTAGAAGCTCCCTTCCTATGGGCTTTCCGAGAAATTGTGCGATTGGATCACCAGCTTTCTTGCAGATCGGGGCATCAAGGTCGTTGTAGACGGTGCAAGATCCGATTGCAAGCCTATTAATGCTGGTGTTCCACAAGGCTGCGTGCTATCGCCAACGCT